GACTTATAGCTCAAGGAATCAGGAGACACACCGCTCTCACACATTTCCTCGAACAGATTCTCTGCATACTCACCCAAACCCAGATCACAGGCAATCCCGAGAACGCAATTCAACGTCCGAGTGCTCAAGGCAAGACCCTGATTCTGAATCTCAAACACCATATCAGCAGCCTCCTTCAACCTCTCGATCTCAGCTAATTTCATCACCATACAATGGACCACTTCAGCTTTCTCCAAATTCCCATCGTCAAGTATCGACATTGCGCAGAATATGTAAAGCCGCATGAAATATCGAAACTTGGGAAACCCAATTGCCCAGTAAAAGAAACGCAGCGCCACCATGGCACCTGCCTCCTCAGACAGTGAAGCGACGACGGAAATGGCCTGCTCGTGGGTCAAAGATTCAGGATTTAAGTCGAGATTGAGCTTGGGTGGTGAAGATCTCAGATGGGTTTGTGGGGAATACGATTGGAATACCAATGAGCAGACTGAACTGACCAGTGACTGCGATTGGGAAGAAGCGACGGCGGTGGAGTTTGGGGCGTCATAGTGAGTGTAGGAAGAGAGTGCTCTGAGAGAGAAGAGGGTGCAGAATAGATAACTGGGTGTTGGAGCAGGGGATAATAGCTTCTGTTGCTGTTGGAGTTCATGGGTTATCAGAATTCGCGGAGAAACCATGGCCCATCTGAGATAGATTTATAACGGCAACAAATGGTATGGATTTATAACGGTAACAAATGACGTTCGAAATGTTAACGTAGACTTATAACGGTAATAGATGAAATAAATTTATAACAATAACAAATGAGATATCATTTACTCTAATTGAGATGTCAAAGATAATATAGAAAAGAAAACTAAGCTTACATAGACAAAAAGATATCAAATTTGAAACGGCCTTCAAATTTAAATTTGATTTTTGATATTTCAAAAGCATTACACTTACTTTATCTTAAATATTAGCATATTTACGTTCACTGCATTCAGATCACATTAATTATTCTAATTCTAGTATAATACATTCTACATACCGTGTCCGACATTAATACATACAAAGTGAAAGTATAAAGTAAATTCGTATGGAAGAAAAGAAGTGATTGGATTCAGAACCTGAACTCACACGTACAAAAATATTGGTTTTGTTTTATTATTGAGTATATACCTAAGGGTGATCCCAAGCTAACAAGGTTCCTTGCTTTCGAGGGTTAGGGAGAACATCTATCGTACACAGTCTCTTACCCTTGTCTTGCAAAAAGGTTGCGAGGGTTAGGAGGGAATGCCTATCTTACCCTTACTTTGCAAAAAAGCTGTTTTCACAACTCGAACATGTGACATTTCAGTCACAAAAGAGCAACATGTCCATTGCGCCAAAGCTCGCCTCCTATAAGTATACACCTAACTTTATTATTTAACTTGCATGTGAACTTCCAAATTTTTCAAGGTACACTGCAATTTTCATAGCAATTATGAATCGTTTTTTAAGTAATTGTAATGACACATTAACTAAATCACATAGTTAATTGGTAATGTGATAGGATTACTTACTTACAAGAAAATAAAGATCTTCGAATATCCTTCTAACCACCATCTCTAGATATACTGAAAAAGACAAAAGAACTAAGCATAATCCATTGCAATTATTCTCTTGGGGTGCACTTTATGATGCTGTCATGAACATATATAGCCTCAGATTGTAGTGCACTAGATTCTTATTTTTCTTCTGCTCCCCTTAATATGGTAAATAGGTTTTGATGTTTGTATAGGAGTGCTTTTTATTAGAAGCACTTACTAGAGAAGCACAATAAAAAAAATTATTATCCAATTATTTTTATAATATACTTCTAAGGTCCGTGAAGACTGCTCCTATATGAGTCAATTCTGCTTATAAACATTTCTATTATAATTGCTTGCTTTCTATGAAAGCACACGTAACATGTGATTATTACAAAAAAAGTCTTCAAGGTTTTTCAACCAGTGTTGAAAGAAGCTCTTTACGTACAAATTGTTACAAGTGTTTTTAGTTATTTAAAAGCGGATTTAGAACTTTAGGAAGTACTAGCAGTAGAGTGCCACTCTGAAGGGTAGCTGAAAAGCATTCGGGTATTTGACACTCAATTGGAAGGGAAGACCTTTACGATGATTAGGTGGTAGCAGGCCAGCAATTCTCATAGTTCCCTTCTTTTAAGCTTTGCCCTTAAGAATCCCTAATTTTAAGGGCCGATGAGAGTTGAATATGTGCTATGCTCCCACCTATTGTCAATCTCTAGACTATGAAATACCATCAATTCAAGTTACCTATATATATATATATATATATATATATTCACAAATCAACTCTTCAAAACTCTATTTTACAGTTAAAAACACTTAAAATACTGTTTTGGAAAGGAAAAAAACTTGCATTACACCATTTATTATATATTGATACGTGAAATATTTTTATGTGTAATTTAATTCTTGAAATGTTTTTCGCTGTTATTAATTATTATTAGTGGTTTACACTAATTAACTTGTTGAGAGAGAAAACAATTTGGTCAGAAAATTTCATAAGAAGGCACTATTCCATGCATTTGATGTATTAACTAATGAAAAAAAAGGAAGAACATAGATAGGTCAATGATCATGAAAAGGGAAGGGGTGTAGACTGTAGTCGAAAAGGGAGAAAATTATGGAAAGGCATCACATGCTTTGCTTTCTACCACACCCATCATTCATTGTCTTACACTTGGTTTTGACCCTCATCATTTTGCTTCTTCTTCTTTCCTGTGACACCTTTATCCAAAACCCTAATCACAGTTTTTCTTTGTCAATGGTAGAGAAGCATTCATAAAAAGAAGTCAAACAGACGAATTATAACTTTTATAGCTCTAGAAAGGACCGGCATACAGAAAGAAAACGCCACTTACGCTAACTAAACATGAGTAATGGTTCTTCTACAGCAAATACGAAATATTACATAAATGAAAAAACATGAAAGGATTTCAACCTAAAAAGAAAATCCTCCACATAAGGCCAAACACTAGAGGTCAAAGGTGGCTAGTGGAGCAAACCAAGCCTACGTGAGGGATTATAACAAGTAAAATCAGAAGCAGGCGACAAACAACATTAAAATACCCAAAACAAAACTGAAAAATTATCACCAATTAACCTTCAAAGTCCTAGTTCCACACACCTTCAACTAAATGAGCGACGATTCGCTCTTGAGGTGGACAGCGGACACAGCTGCTCGGTCGGATTCTCAATCGAAAGTAGGCAAATTGACGGCAAAATAGAGTCTTGAGTGCTGGATCCATATGCGTTAGGGATTTGAGGTTCATTTGGGGCTAATGGAAATTTGGAACACAATAGCAAGGAATAGAGAGAATTTGGAAGATAAACAAAAGAGAGGAAATTAAGTTTCCAAATTGAAATGTTGCTCAGGGCCACAACCACCGACAATCGGGGATTGAGGCGAACAACCATCTGAGAAGAGATGGGGTAATCACAGTTTGTCGATTGTTCTAACTTTTAATGAAAAAAAGTATATCACAATTCCATTGATGCAAAACCGTGTGGGACTCTTTTAAGGATAATTGGCAGTGCATAAAACTCTTGATTTTAAACGTAAACATCAAAAACCCTTAAACCTCCGCTTTGAACAAAGAAAAAATTTATGTACTCTCAATTGCACTACCCGATTGCTATTGCACCACAAGCTAGGGTTTTTTCATTTCTTTTCTTCTTTTCCTTCTGGAGTTTGACTCGTTCAGTGTTTCTCACTAAATATTATCAGTTGTCAGAGTAAACTGAACAAATTAAGTAGTCTTTCTAGTCATTGGAAGTTAATCAGGTTGCTGATTATCCAAATGATAAGTTAGTTTATGAGCAAGAACCATAACATGTGGCCAACCGCAGAAAAATAAGTTTTGTATTAAAGAAAGTTGTGGAGTTTGACAATAACCAATGTTTTCATCACACAAAGTATTATACTACATGGAGACAACAGTAATCTAGCATCTGATAGTATCAAAAATTTTTAAACTTGAAAAATTGAAGAGAGGTGGCAAGACGCAAGAAAAATCTAAGAGAGAGGAGAGAGATTTTTCAGTGTGCTTAGATAAAGGTTCGGTGCACCAAGTGTAATAATCAATTGATTGGAAACTTGAAAATAAAACATTTCAATTAATTGTATTATTACATTTGATGTACAGTATTTCCGACACACTGAAAAATTTCTCAGTCGAGAAAGAATCACATATAAAAATTAGTGCCACAATTGTTTTGGGGACAAACAAACAGTTTCTTCTATGATCCCAATCTTCTACCCCCAAGTGTAGGCTAGAACAATTATATATACATAAAGAGGTTGGTTAGCATAACACCTTTATTTTAATATGGGAATAAGAATATCATAGAGCTCTTCTTTTATTTAATTAATTTAGTTCATGACAACTAATGATCTTAGTAAAAAACACACAAAAGAACAAAATTACATAATACAAAAACTCCTCATCTATAGTGTTATAACGATTGAGTGCAATAAATTATGTTTATAATTTTTTCTGTTCAATTTAGGTCTTTAAATCGTTACTAAGAAATAACAGTCTATTACAATGACAGTCGTGTACATAGCTTTTTTCCGTTCAAAAACTAGATCTTCAAATTTGTACAATAAAAAAGAGTTTTGATGAACATGTTTGCAATTTTTTTTTCTTCCTATAATGATAGAAAAGGAAAGGGAAATAATTTTAACAATTCCTTTTTTTCTTTGTACACATTCATGTTTACGTATGTCTCTTGATTCGTTCCTTATTTCTTTGATCTAAAAACCAAAAATAAATAAGAATGTAAGAAGTGAAAAAGGTTACCAAAACAAAAGAAAATGCAAACAACATAGTTATCATTGAAAAGTAGACGAGGACTTGAAATTATGCAAAACAAGCAACAAGTTACAACTGCTCATTGGCACAAGCAAAAATTATAATATAAGAATCTTCACCAACCCCATTATTTACATTCATTGGTTTCTCTCTCTATAAGAACCTCCCACTCTCAGTCTCTCACCACCAACCATTAAACATGCAAAATCTGCAACTTTGCAGTTTCTTCTTCTTCTTCTCTTCCCTTTTTTTCTCTACAATTCTGGCTCAATATTCATGGAGCCAGAACACACAATTCAACCAAGCCAAAAACTATGAGGGTTCATCAGATCTGGTGGACCTTCAGTACCATATGGGTCCTGTCCTTGCTTCTCCCATCAACCTTTATGTTATATGGTATGGCCACTGGAACCCTACTTATCAATCCACCATTAGAGACTTCCTCTACTCTCTCTCCTCTCCTGCCCCTTACCCTTCTGTTGCTGATTGGTGGAGCACTGTGAGGCTCTACACTGATCAAACTGGCTCAAACATCACTAGAACCATTGCTCTCTCCGGAGAGTTTTACGATTCTTCCTACTCCCATGGAAGCTCTCTCAGCCGCCTTTCGATGCAGTCCATCATAAAAAATGCTGTCACTTCACATCCAAGAGCCTTGCCTCTCAACCCGAGAAACGGGGTTTACTTAGTTCTGAGCTCATCTGATGTTAGGGTTCAAGACTTCTGCAGGGCGGTTTGTGGTTTTCACTACTTCACATTTCCAACCCTAGTTGGTGTGACTGTGCCGTATGCATGGGTGGGTTATAGCGGGAGTCAGTGTCCGGGCGTCTGCGCTTACCCTTTTGCCTGGCCTAAGGACTCAGGCAGGCCGCCACCAGGCACACCTGGAGGGAACACCATTATGCGCGCGCCCAACGGGGATGCGGGCACTGATGGGATGATAAGTGTGATAGCTCATGAGCTAGCGGAGGTCTCGAGCAACCCGCTTGTGAATGCGTGGTACGCAGGTGACGATCCGACTGCACCGACAGAAATTGCAGATTTGTGTATGGGGGTTTATGGTAGTGGCGGGGGTGGAGGGTATGTTGGTGCGGTTTCAAAGGACAGATGGGGAAATGGGTTTAATGTAAATGGGGTGAAAGGAAGAAAGTTTTTGGTACAGTGGATTTGGAACCCTGTGAAAAGAAGATGCTTTGGTCCCAATGCTATGGACTAGGAGGAGGATGGAACTGTGGTTAACAGCTGCTTAATGCTTTTGTGCAAAAGTGCTTATGGATCTCTTTCTTGCTTTTGAGGTCAGAGGAGAGAGAGAGAGAGAGAGAGATGGTGGAGGGCCCTATTGGTAAAGGGATTGGCGATTTAGGATGCTTGATTTGTTTGAAATTATTACTTATTAGCGGTTGTCATGGAGACTAGACAAAAGCACTTTCATGCTTTGCTTGTTCTATTTATAGGCTGCTTTTTTTGTAATGCATAATTGATGTAGAAGATGCAAGTAAAGGCACTATTTTGCAATTGTACCACCATATGAATAAATAAGATTATGTACATTCTGTGTGGGGGGGAGAGAGAGAGAGAGAGAGAGAGAGAGAGAGAGAGAGAGAGAAGGCATACATAACAAAGAATCAGACATCTTTCTATATTTCCATGTAAACTAGTAACAAATAGTTTCTTCACTACAGCTGAAACCTGAATTCGAATTCAAAACCTTTAACCGGCGATAATCGGTAGAAGAATGGCACAGACTAGTGATTAAACAACAAGAGCCACCTAAGAAACTTGCTAGAGCGAAAAAAGAATTTCCAAATGCAACAGAGCTTCTACCAGCATTTCACAAAGAAAAGAACTCTGTCTTTTCATGAGCATACAGAGAAGATACACGATCTTACAGCTACACGAACGGGCTTGCACTTATCTTTTAATTATTGACAGGAAGTGAAAACTTGATAAGCTTCTGTGTTATTGGCCCATTCAGTACCGACCAACCAGAGGAATTATGTTAACTCACAACACATCAGTGCATCGGATACAAGGGTGGTCAATAAGCCTGGTAGCAAGGCTCTCTGGCTCTGGAATGAGAGCCGATGTCAAGCTGTTCCAAAAATGGAATGTTAACGACTCATCTAGAATCTTTCTGAACAGGGCATCTTGTTGAGCCTTTTCAGTCTCTGTTGACGGTGCAGTGAAGTATCTGTTCCCACATCAATTGAGTTAATTCATAAAGGAAGAAAGCTCATGGGAGAATTGTAAACTAAAAGTTAAAAACTGCTATACAAAAGCTCAAGAGGTTCGAGAATATTTGAATAAATGCACCAGCATGCATCCAAATATAAAACACGTAAGTGTAAGAAATCAGAAGATGGGGTTTTCTTCAATGCGGGATGAATGTTCCAGGACTGCTGCGGGAAATGAGTGGCGATCAAAGGTGACTTTTCACAGATCGATAGGCACTCACAGCCCACAACACTCCTCTCCATTGGAAAAGAATTCATATAAGATTACCTTGAGATATTCTGAGAAGCAATTGGAAAAAATATGAAAGAAGGCTGCACTTTCAGCTCCAGCTGTCTAACTGATTTATTACGACCACTCAAAAACCTTCGTGCAACTCTTGTCAAAAGATCAGCCCCATTCAATCTCAAACGAGTATCATCATATGTCATATAAAACTCTTTCAGGCACTCCATTATGAAGGGGCTGCATGGAAAAGTGAAGCAAATATCAAAATCCAAAATTTTCATACAAGTCAAATATACTAGTTTATAATTTTCCTCATCAGTGCCACTCAAATTTGTATATAGGACAGCTAATAAATGTACAGATCAATGCCACTAAATTTTCAAATATAACACAATTTCCTAATTTTCATGCGATTCTTGTGGACTCTCTCTCTTTGGTGTTTACCCAATAAAGGGTATGCAATTCGAAACAATTTATGAAACATAAAACACGTAAACACATAGCCCAGTACACACACAAACAAATATAATTATTTTGAAGGGTTAAGGGTTTAGGGTTTAGTGTAATGTCAGGAAGAATCATCAAAAGCTCCTGTTAATGAATCCTAAACCAGTAGGATGGATGAGGTAAAGGGACAGCAGTAAGTGAGAATTCTAGTACTCTACGCAATGCACCGGTATAAAAAGCACACTTAGATAAAAAGGAAAACAAACCTCGTTATTAAAATTCAATGATAAATACAAGTCTGTTCTGATTCAAAATGATTTCAACTGAAATAGTACTTTGATTCCCACAATTAGAGATGAAGTCATGTACATACCTCCTCCTATTAAATGCCATTACAGCACCATTCAAAGAACTTCCCGCAGGTCGATCCTCTTTACCAACAGAATTGTGAAGTGATGATAAAGACTTCAGGACTATGATATCAGAATCAAGATATATTCCTCCGTATCTGCAAATGCAAAGAAATGAAGTTAGGGAGATCTTTAAACTCAACAGAAAAATGTTATGTTTAATGCACCATTCTGTTTGCACATATCAGCATCTAAAATCCAAAACGTTACACATAACCAGATCATATCAGACAGGATGATAATGGCCATGCTTAAGATTGGCATAAAGAACGAAAACTCTGAACCTAAAAAGTCATCACATGCGTTAAGTTTTCCATGATATGCTCATCAGGAAACTTAACTCTTCTTTAGTTGCATCGAGCTCATCTAGCAAAACTTGCAGTCTCTTTAAAACTCGACTGCTCAAGCACATACCATGAAAACTCTGAGCTCATTTATTTGTTAAGAACTTTTTGCTGAAGTGAAAATGGAGCTCATTGATTTGTTAAACCTCACCACTAAAGCACATACCATGAAAACTCTTGAACTCATTTATTTGTTTAAGAATTTTTCTGAAAGTGAAAATGGAGCAAGGAAAATAAAAAACTTCAGGAAGAGGAATTACATTTTGCATAAACAATATTTCATACTTCTCTACACGCCAGAAAAGGAAAAGAAATCATTTGATTTCCCTCTTTACAACAAAAACTTACAGCACACAGCTCTGTTACAACAAACAATTCCAAAAAAAAATTGTACAGAGATGAAATTCAATTAGGAAAGATTAAGGTTTAAACTCCTTTCACAACATTAGCAACGACAAGGAGAACTAATAGACTAATAGTGCCCACTCAAGAATGCTTGAACATTATTGCAAGGTTGACCACAATTGTGCAGGTCCAGTTAATATGAGATGTCAAACTCCATACTAACTTGTAGCTATTCAGCTAAATTCCTTGCCTAAGGTAGTAAATAAAGAATCAACAACCTATGGATAGTTACTACCATCTCACCCAAAGTTGCTAATGGCTGTAGTTTTCTTTTTAACCAAGTAACAGCCAGATAGTCTTCTTCTAAGCTGAAGTGACAGAATTTCTCTTTTTTATTTTTTGATGAAATACCAGATTATATAAAATGGATATAAACAGAAACATAAGAAGGGAAATTTTCCATTATGATAATCTATAATGTATGAAACGACCAACAACAACAACAAAGCCTACTCCCACTAAGTGGGGTCAGCATGTATGAAACGACCAAGTTAAAATATTCTGCTGAATCCTACTTCTACCCATTATCTCCTCCATAGATTGGCAAGGGGTAAATATGGATTTTTAGCCAAAATGGTCCCTGAGATTTGCATAACTCCTCATTTTGCTCCTTGAGATTTGAAATAGATAGAATTGGTCCCTGAGTTTGTCTACAATCAATCATTTTGGTCATTCTCTAAAAAATCTCCATAAAATAAGAATAAAATACTAAAATACCCGCAATAATTTTGGTCAAACCATTTTGGCCTATTGTTTATTAGATTGAGGGTAATTTTGTCATTTTGATCCTTATTTAACATAATTTTTCACCCAAGGACCAAAATGATTGATGGTAGACAATCTCAGGGACCACTTCTATTGATTTCAAATCTCAGGGACCAAAGTGAGGAGTTATGCAAATCTCAGGGACCATTTTGGCTAAAAAGCCGGGTATATATTAAAACTTCTAGGCTTTTAGCCCTTTGTTTAAGTTCCTGCTCTGAACTGGTGAAAGCTCCTAGCCAAAAAGCTGAATGTGATTGTGCATTTAATTTCAACATCAATAATGAATCCTAACGCAACTCTAACTCGTTAAACTTTGTGTACCCTAATGACAAGAAAGACAAAAGTTAGAGCCATGAATTATGCCTACCTAAGCATATCAGATTGACAGTGGTGAATAGCTACGGTAAAACTTAAACTACCATTAAAGTAAATTGACAAGAACTTAGATTTCTCATGCATTATCTTCACTCTTCAGCGATACTCTTTTGTTCCATCCCAATCAAAACGTTCACATTAGTCCCAACTGGATTTAAAATAAAAATAAAAATTGACTGACCCATAGAAGGACAGATCTGCAAATAAATAAACTTACTTGTAGAGAGCAGCAAGGCGGACAAGCTCACTGTAATGAGTAGCATAATACTTGGTCTTTCTCCACTCGGACCAGGCAGAAGCAAATATATGGGTCGGTGTATCCCTTAGTAATTCATCAAGATTTGGCATAGCAACAGCAACTTTGTAACTACGGAAAAAGAATTGCCTCAGTACAAAATGAAAATTAGAAAACCAACAAATAAATGTATCAAATAAGCAAAGTTTGAAAAAGTACCCGTCCTTCAAAAAGCTATTTTTAAAGAAATCAAGCTCAATTGTCTCAGACAACACTAAAACACAGGCATCTCGATGACGGGATAGTAAACTCTCAAGCCCCCGCTGCTGTCTTACAGTATACATCCAAGGGGGAGAATTCCACACCATAAAAACCCTCATCTCACATTTCCCCTTCCTGAAAAACACATCCACAAAATCAGAGAATGATAAAAGCGGGTCCAAACCGGGATAGTAACCCCATCTCTTGCCATCTGCATATATAACACCTGAAAACTCATCCTTAAAGCCACCCACTTGATCCGGATCCGATTCACTAATTTGTTCAACGGTGTTCCCAATCGCTTTATCACTCACATTACTCATGTAAGACAAATTCCTGTCGGTACTAGAATTACCACTTGAACCTGAATTCAAACCCTTACTCTCATTTTCAGCAAGTTCTGTTCCTACACCTATTCCATTTCCCCTTCCATTCACAACACCATCTCCACTATCACTCTCCATTTTCCTACCCTCACGGCCATTTTCCCGGAGCTTCACTTCTCGGGGCCTCCCCGAAACTCCCAGCGGCTTCTTCCCGAGAAACGGGACCTTCTTAAAGTGATTCAGCCACCATTTCTGCAGCACCTTATCACCCTTTGTCAACCCAGTAACCCCAACCGCATCAGGGTCCTGCAGCATTGGATTGTGCAACGGATTCAGCATCTCCACATGGGACTTAAACATCCTATCCCTCCTCAAGAAATCGCCTTTCTTATCAAACCACTCCCCCCATCCCTCCCTTAGCGGCGAAACCCTCTTCCCCACCTTCAGCAATAGCGCGTCCTCAATACCCGCCACCTCACTCATCCTCCGCCGCACCTCCATATCCACCGGCACATCGTCCGATCCAAACGCCACCTTGCTCTTATCCAATGCACTCAATCCCATGTTAAACCCATTGTAATCTTCCTCCCAATCCTCAATTTTACGCTTATTGAAACCCCTCCTGATAACCCCAGTCACGTGATCGAATACATACCCGGAAACCCTAGATTGCGAAATCTCCGATTGGGGGTCGTCCTCATCGTCCACTTCCTCGTCTTTGGGCGTCTCCTCTACGACGTCGTCGAGCTCGTCGATCTTGTCCTCGGTGGCGATGGAGCCGACGTCGTTGGCCTCATCGGAGACGAGGGGATTGGTGAGAGAAACATCGTCGTATTGGGAATCGGGGTTCTGGCGGCGGTAGTGGAAGTGGTGAGACTGGGAGTGAGAAAGGCGAGTGTAGAGGAGAGAGACGGAGAGGAGGAGGAGGAGAGCTGAGATAACGGCGCAGATGTAAACGCCGTAACGCGGTCGGTGGGGCCGCCGGGATCGAATACTTCTCAGCATTTTGGGTCCGTTTGGGAGTTAACGGAATCGGGTGTCATCGCCGCATCGGAAGTGGGCAGTGACAGGAGAGATTTTTTTTAGCTTGTCTGAAATACGATACAGGACACTTTTTTTTTTTTTTTTTTTTTTGGTAAATAAAATATATTAATGAGAAAAATAGAATACAAGCAGCAGAAGATTAGCTGAAAATACAAGCACGCAACAAAGAGCAGCAGCTAAAAGAATAAAGACAACAAATCTAATAACGCTATCAAAGCAGCAAAAAAACACTAATTATTCATTAAGGACGGAATGAACGATTTTCAAAGAACTCAATCGAGTCTAATGATGGACTTAAAACAGTACACTAAATTTAACGCACCATGTTTTCAACACATTAAAGAAATTCTCAGTAAAGATCCTAACCTAATTTGTGGCTTAATGCCCCAAGTGTTTGTTTTTTATTAACAAGGTAAGCATATTTGAATACAAAACCACATAAAGCAATATTAGAGGAAATTCGAACACATGATCTTTCAAAAAAGAAAAGGCTGGAACATAAGACCTTAAGAAATGAGAGTTGAACAAAAAACCTCATAAAAAGGAGTTAAACATAAGACCTCACGACCAGAATACGAAACCTTATAAAGTAATATTATAGAGGAGGAATTCGAAAACAAGACATGTGCAAAAATAAACGTTTTTAATCACTTGTGCCACTAGCCCTGTACAAATGAAATATGGGGATTGAGCAAATGGTCAATTACATCATAAATTAAACCTGAATTTGATCATTGATTTGGATGTCATCACCTTTTCACATTTTCAACGTGCAACGTAAAGGCATCACCCTCACAAACAACTGCAGTACAAAAAGCAAAATTATAATTTCATTCTTCCTGATTCAAAAGATTCACAAATCCTGGGAACATATTTATAAAAAAAAAAACTGCAATCTTTAACCAAAATCAGAGCTTAACAAAAAAAATGATCACTTTACATGCATAAACGTTGCATTCTTCCACTCCACTGCAAGCAACTCGAAAACAGCTAACGGAAGAAGTTCAAGAACGCGGCAGCTTTCATACGTGTATTTCCAGCTCTTCGGTTAGTAACACCACGACAAGCTGAAAAGCCGTAGTACTTGGCTTTTACAGGAATGCGGGTTGATCCTTAACTTCAACTAAACGAAAACTTGAAAAACTATCTGTCAACTGCAATGACTCTCTTTCCTAGAGTAGATGCTGAGGAGCTTGAGCATCGACCGAAAGCTAGAACCTTGTCACTGTTGTTTGTTGAGCCGCCTTCAACTGCTTCAACTTGGCCGTTAGAATACTCCAGAGACTCTTGTTTTCTCTTTTACTATCATCAGTTTCACTATCATCGCCAAACTCAAAATCATGAGCTAAACTATCTTTGTTGCATGCTTTCTTGAGTTCACCTTTTCTGATTTCAACGTTGCTTTTAAGAACATCCTTCTTTTCTTCCACACTCTCAGAGGTCGCACTGTCTGAGCTTTTGCAGGAATTACTGCCGCTGATTGGGAGAAAATCCTTTGCATTGTCCAAATGCTTAGAAGTATCAATTTTAGAGCCGCTGTCGGCTATCTTGAGTACACGTTTTCTAATTATAACCCTGCTTGGAAAAACAACCTTCCTCTCTTCCATATTCTCAGAAGTACCAAAGCTTTTGTTAACATTACTGTCGCTGATTGGATGAACATCCTTCACATCTTCCACATGCTTAGAAGTATCAAATTTAGAGCGGTTGATTGCTCTCTTGAGGACACGTTTTCTAATTCCACAGCTGCTTGTAAGAACATCCTTTCTCTCTTCCACATTGCCAGAGGTGCCAAAGCTTTTGCAAACATTACTACCGCTGATTGGAAAAGAATCATGAGCATCGCCCACATGCTTAGAACTATTAATATCAGAGTGGATGTTGGCTGACTTGAGCTCACATTTTCTGCTTGGAACAAGATCCTTGCTAATTGTATCTTCCACATTCTCAGAAGTACGAATGTCAGAACAATTGCAAACATTACTACCGCTGATTTGAAGAGCATCCCTCCTTTCATCCACATGCTTGGAAGGATTAACATCAGAGCTTTTGAAACTATTACTAAGTATAAAGAGTCGCTCTCCAAATCCCATATTCAGGTCCCGAAATTCTAGAGAAGATTCTGGCTTTGTGAAGCAACCAACAGTGCCAAAAGATGCCGCAGACAATTTCCTGGATCTGTGCTCTTGAGATGGTTCTTGCTTGTCCAAGCAACCCATGGTGTCAAGAGATGCCTCGTACTGTTTATTACTGGATTCAGGATGGTTATCACCAACACCAGAATCTACACAAATAGCAACTTCTTTGGCTCCTCCTTGCAACTCAGAGTTTAGATTCCTTGAGCTGTCTATTACATTACTGATGCTAAGATCACCACTTTCCGCACAAAGTTCTACTATTGGAAGCAACTCCAATTCATTGCCTTTTGCACATTCCATTGCATAAAATGCATTTTCAGTTCCAGAATTTGCTTCAGGTAATCGCAGGGCAGACATCTGAACAGTGATGTGCCTGTTATCATTACAATCTGGAGATGATTTGTTCACAATAGGAACCTTATAATCTGAGTCTTTCTGAACATTAGATTTTTTGTCTCCATATGGGATTGCAAGGCTGTCAAGATCATGAAGAGGCTCCATTCCACCTTCATCTCCAACTTTGAGAGATGGCCCGGAAATTTCAGTTTTAATATCCTGCTCGTATTCTGGAAATCTTTCCATTTCAATATTCTCATTTTCACGACTGGTTTGATGAACCACTTGAGGCGATTCTTTACATTGCGGTAACAACTTAGGAATTGCAAGGTTAGCAATTTGGCTACCAACGTCAAGAAGAAGCTCTTTTAGGTCTTCATGAACCACTTGAGATGATTCTGTACATTGCAGTAACAACTTAGGGATTGCAAGGTCAGCAATTTGGCTGCCAACATCACAAAGAGGCTCTTTTCGACCTTCATCTCCAAAGTTGACTGATGCCGCAGAGCTTTCAACTTCAATTTCTCTTTCATATTTTGAAGATCTTCCAGTTTGATTATTCGCATTCTCATGACTGCTCTGACACACCACAAGCGACAAATCGGTACCTTGCGGTAACAACATACCTTGGCTTCCAATAGAAGCCTCGCAACTTCCACTTTCTTCACTAGTTGAACATATTTGAGATGACACTTGTAAAATCTTAGAAGTGTTTCCATTCATGCTTTTGTCATCACATGGCTCATTCAACCTGAACTTTGGTCTAACCAGCTTCCTTCTCTTTCCATTAACATCTTCACTAACAGAAGATTCTTGTGATGATGCTTGTAAATTCAGAGATATGTTTCCATTTATGCTTTTTTCATCGCGTTGCTCATTGTCATTGAACTTCGGCCTGATCAACTTCCTTCTCTTGCATTGCCCACCCAACAGTCTATATTTTCCTGCAATTTCATCCTTCGCTCTAGCATTGGTATCATCATTACGTTTCAGCAGTTCACTCCGCCTCTTGAAATCCACAAATGGTATCTCTTCACGCCTTTGATCAACTTTATCTTCAACGCGTGTAGTAGAAGCCATGTTTGACTCCAAGTCATTACTATCCAACTCAGAGTCCACTTTGGTCTTTTTATTACTCCTAAACTTCTCGTCATCGTGCAATCTAGTAGGTCGTTTAGATTTTTTTGACTTCACCCAGCTGTAGTTACTCGCACTCAACATTGCCATGACTTCATCCACTGATGCATCATTATCAGTTTCCTCGTAGTCAGCATGCGTACTATTCTCTTTTCCAGGCGTATCTGAAGTCAAGCAAGAAAATACACTTCTTTGATTCTTCAGATCAGAACACATTCCTTCAGAACATGCATAAGACTTGAGATCATGATTAAAAGATTTCTGATCACGGTGGTCCACGCTGCTATGATCATCAGGATGAACACTACATTGCAACTGGCACTGAAGCTCATCTGATGAAGTTACATAAGCAGTACATGGTTCATCATTCAATTTCTGTGCCATTTCTTGCTCAAGTTTTTCTTGTAATGCTACATGATGAGCACGATCAATCACAAAGGACAGACAGTTACTAGGACTGAGAGAATAAGATGAAGGGCTCTTGGTTTCCCTCTCACTACTTCCAATTTGGGATAAACTTTCAGTTGATAAAGAATTCTTCAAAACTGGCTCCCGGGAACACTGTTTTCCAGAAGAATCTACAGCCATTTCTTCAGAATATGCCACCTCTGGAAAATGCACGATGTTCCCCTGACATGAGTGCTCGTAATGGTCAGGGGATGCGATTGGAACATGAACATCAAACTTGGAAGTGGATTCTAGGCTTTGACTGATTCCTTTTGACCCTGTATATGATTGATTTGTAATGGAAGGAATGCCATGTTGTTTATAACAATCTTGAACGGAATTTGAACGCTGATTGATCCCAATTGATGGTGAGAGTGAATTGTTCAGACTAAGAGCATCAGGATCGTAGGGAAGAGTGGCAGGGACAATTGCATCTCTATAAGATGGAGATGCTGAACAAGAATGGCTAGTGATTTGCAGGCCAACAGTCGAAGTTGATTTAGTTTGATCTTGAATCAAAGAACCTGTTTCTTCAACAGGCATGCCAGGACAGACAGGTCTATCAAGACTAGACTGAAAGAAAGCAGGGTTCTCAGTTGGTCCAACTGGCCCAAAAACATTACCTTCACTACTGCCAATTTGTAATTGATTGCCCATTAAACGGCTGGAATCGTCATGGATTACCAGGTTGTTGTCACCTCTTCCAGATTGACCCGACATAGGATGCTCAGATGACACGGATTCAACATCCACATTAAATTTATTCCCTGCCCTCTCAGACATTGCAAAAGCAGCATGCAATTTCCCAACTTCACCTGGAATGGGCCCAAGATACTCACTCTGCATGATCTCCCCAACCTTCTTGTCTACTTTATGAAGATCACCCACTTTATCACTTGCCAACATGCCACCATCTTCTTTTCCATTATTCTCATAGACATTCCCCGGTGACTGAGTCATTGCTGGCCCATTATGATTGTCAGCATCAAGCTTGTTGTTTACGTTATCACTCAATACAGACCTGCCATCATCGACTTCCTTGACTCTACCAGCAGTGTCTACTGATATCGGTTCTCTTTTACTGGCTAATTCTCTCTGCCACGGCTGATATACTAACTTTTGTGAACTGAACAACATTAAAAGCCTTCGGACCTACACATATACATGAAACAATACTGTTAAAAAAGGCAATTCTAAATCCCATCAAGGTCTGAGTTAATAGGAAAGGAGAAAACCTGAGCTTTGGAGAGACCGAAATGGAACTTCCAATTTGAAAAATAGTTATCTTTGATCACGCCACTGAATTCAGGTTCTGACAGCGGATGACAACGCCAAATTGGCTTGACTTTTACCTGCATAAAGAATATAACAAAATATATCCCATTGGAAATTTGAAATAAATCAAAGCATAAACGAAAATAGTGGATTGTTGAACTGAAAGTAGACATTATTCGTACCTGAGCAGGAAACTGCTTTCCTGATGAATTGTATGCAGAAGGCGAATTATTCATTTCACCGTCAGAGCATGCTTGAAAAACACCATGAAGTTCTCTCCTCTCGTATTCAAACAGAAATAGTATCATTCCAGTTTTAACCTGCTTTACAAATTGGCCTTGTGAAGATGGAAGGCCAAACAGTCCCCGTTTAAAACATTCATCTTTCATTGCACTGCTCGACATGAAAATTGCACCGTATTCAGGATATACCCCGCAAAAAGAATCCTGCCCCTCGTCTGACTCCATTGGTGTTCTTGGCAAAAGGCTGCCAAATTCACTATTCAGAGCAACCATAACTATCCCTTTCTCAGGTAATCATAGCAACCAAAACACAGTACTTTGAGCGATATATAATTCCTTGCAGTGACGCATGTCTAGTTCAAATTTTCACCATAATTAAACACAATGTATTACAGCAACGAAGGTACAACTACGAACATATTCCCAAAAAAATGTATCCTAAATTGGTAATGCAGTTTATACACCACTCCGATTCCATCAAAAAGTTCATACCATACACAGATTCCTCTCTTTCTCCACCTCTCTCACTAAACCCTAGCCTAGCAAGTACAAAATTTTCTCAAACTACATACCCTGAATTCCGAAAACACTAATCACTAAAATGTAATTAATATCATGCAACTCTTCCTAATCACTAAAACGGCATTTATTCTTACAGAAAAGTACTTTCACGATTAAATTTGCAAAAATTAGCGCGAAAAACAAACAATTACAATAAAATTCTCGAGAAATTTTTACTGAAACCCTAGACCAGATTAGACAGAAAGCAATGACGAACAGACTAAAAAATTAAAAAAAACCTCAGAGAAAAAATAGTGAGAAAATAGCAGAATAAATGTGGACGCAATCCAAGCATTTACAGAGAGAGACTGAGAGAGAAGAGAGAGAGCGGGGGAGAGCAGGAGGACATGAAAGGACATTACCAGAAGAAAGAGAGAAGAGGAGGAGGAGGGAGAGAGAAGGAAGGACGACGACGTCGTGTGGCGGTGTGGCTTCTCAAGCGTGGTGTGAGCGATCAGAACCTCGGCTCTAAGTTTGGTGGTGGAGCTGCGAGAATATATCATACCACGTCGTGCGTGAGTGGGACCCTCTGACGGTTTTTCTTACTTACACGGGATCCCATACGGTGTCGTTTGGTATTGGAGTGGTGTCATTTCCATTTTTCGTATCTTTATATTTTCTTTTTTTTTTTTTTTTTTTTTTTTTTGGTTGGAGGGAAGGAGGATGACGTAATTTTAATCAACTCGAGAAAGCTCCAGTGGGGACGAAATTTTTTTTATTATGATTGGAGCACAGAGAATACATCATGTGTTTTTATATAAATAGTAGAAAATTTTATTTTTTAAGTTATTAACTTTTTGAATAAATTACATTTTACCTCTTCAAGTTTGGGTGCTATTACAACTTCATACAACATCTTTAAAATATTTCCATTTCATACGCTATTTATCATTTCGTTACCGGATAGCTCCAGGGTTCAAGTTCGAGCTCTTTTGAATGTGCCGAAGGCTACTCTGGTCACGGTTGAATTGAGCCTTCTACGAGGATGATTGGGAGGTTTTGGAGCTTAATGCTGAGCTTGCAGAGGCTGCAATTTTGAATCAGGTACATTTCGGTTGCTTGTAAGCAACACATTTGCGTGTTTACATCAGTTTGTTGTATCTTTGGTAAATGCAGGTGAGGCTTCTCCATGAAGAAATGAGGTTTCCTTTTGTGGTTGAACGGCCGCACTACCATTACATTCCAAGTTGCTTCAACCTTCCCGAAGAAAGCCGTGGGTAAGATGCTGTATGCTTTGTTGTAATTCAACTATTCAATGAATTCTGAGCATTTGAAATCGATGAGGCGCAACTTAATGCTTGTATTCTGATATCTTGGTCTACTTGTGGGATATTGCCAGTGCAACTGGTGAGAGGGACTGAAGTTGCAGTTGCTCCAAAAAGACGCAAGACTGTCAACCGGCATGGTGATCCTCCATACTCTCTTCTAATGGAAAGAATCATATTTCAAGGGCACTACTGCGCGTTCAAGATTCAGACAGGAGACTAGTTCACAAAACTTATTTCAAAGGCATTGAGCTTGGAGTTGTTCCTATTGGAAATTTTGAGTAGAAATTTCATTGTCTCACATTGGTCATTCTCAAAAGGTTTCCTCACTTTATAAGGCTTTATCCCTTATAAAAAATGATTAGAGTGATAGACTTTGGAGACTAAAATTGGGTTCACCCTTAAGGTTGGACTTTGGGATGTACTAATCTGTTCGGATTTGAATAATTATTTTTAATTAATTTCGAATTTAATTAATTAATTATTTTTTACCAACAGACACCCCTCTGAGAAGATGTCTCCGGACAGATGCATCCCTTCCTCATACATGTTGCGAACATGCATAATCATATTATATATACATCCATTTGCATGGCATTTAGAATACAGAAAAAACAATTCTTCTTCTATAATCCAAAACATCCTTACTAAGAGAAACACACATAGAAATTCACCAGAAGTCAATTTTTCCGGTGCTGAAATTCTGACTTGATCGTTGAATCCTGGTGAAGTAGACGTCCGTAGAACTACAAGCATTGAGTAGGAATGAAATTTCTGTTTCAAGGACATTGCGGTACGCAAGCCTCGATCTTTTATATTTTTGTTCAATATTATTTCGTTATTCATACTCTATTAATTTCCTATTCACATTTATTATTTATTAGCATATATAATTTTGTCAAAGATTATTCACTTATATCCAACAGTTCCGACTTCTGTTGCTATGATTCACCCTGAAACAGAAACAAAATGTTCTCTTTACAATCTCTTTAGTTCGTAGTTGTTGTGCCAAGGTTATCACCAAAAGAGAGCATGAAAATTTCTGAAAACGGTGGGTTGCAAACAAGAAACAGGTCAACTCCAAAGGAATCTAACGGTGGAAATACCGGAAAGGACAACCGTGAAGCAATTGTTCGGCTGTTGATTTCCGATTCAGTTGTTAAAGGGCATGTGATGATTCAGTTGTATGGCATATACAACCAGTTCTTGGATTCAAAGAGATGTGTTGCTACACATGTCCTTCTACCCATCTCTCTCTAAGCTCCTTTTATTGTTGCAATGCTCATGCTTCTATTATTTAAAGAAAGAATTTGATGTACGACTAACAACTAATGGTTTTGCAGTCGAGAGATGCAAAAGGCAAGAGGGCAACCCTGGCATGAGTTATGACTGAACTTAATGACCTAATGTTCTTCAGGTAAAGCAAGATATGACTTTCTGTATTTGGGGCTTTGTTGAGATACAACTGACTCCACTTAGTGGATAAGGCTTTATTATTGTTGTTGTAGTTGAACGTATATTTGGATTTGTTCTAATTTCATATGTAGTTATATTTGATTCTGAATTTGAAATACACGGTTCTTATTTCCTATCTTGCAAGAGATCAAAATTAAGATTAAGAAAGGTTGGTCCGCGTAGCTTTCACATTTATGTTATTAACACTCAAAAAGTCTCATTCTACACTCCTCACAAGTGTATTTTTCTTTCTAAATATAGAAAGTTTGGAGTGTAGAATGAGAATTTTAGAGTGCCAATAACAATTCCCCATCCGAATATGTATATAGCCGCGTTATGAACTAATTGGCTGGCTGGTTCAATAATATCGTATGTCAATATGTAAGATAAAATGTACCGTTGCAAGCATGCAGTTGAAACATGAACAGAAACGGATGTCAATACGTAAGATAATGGCATCAAATTTACAGTGCTACCAAGCGTCGACCACAAACTGGAGCACAAAACAAAATGACAACAAAATTTTCTCGAGTTCACATGAAATCTTTCATTAGAGGCGCACAGGATGGCATCTGCTCATCGAAGTTTGATGATAATATCCATGGAATATGTTTAGCATTGTACTGCACTGCCGCATGATTTCACTGGTTAGGAACACCAAACCAGAAACAAATCCGAAAATCCTTTTCTGTAAACTTAACACATACAGCAGTAACAGGAAACAGATTTAATCAGAGAAACATGAGAACTTATAGGCGAGCAATGACGGCCTCCACCTCAGCAGGGGTATACAGATGATATGTTGGAGAAACCTTTGCGATATCGACATTGTTGGGTGTCACCTGAAAACAGTACCACAGGTCAACCAGTGTAAATCCTATGCAAATTTGAACACCGCCCAAGAAAGAATAGTATGCATAGAAAATCTATATCAAATATAAAGCTTCACCTTTTCTTCCATAACTTGCTTAAGGATAGACAGAGCAATTGTCTCAGCTTCTTGAAGAGTCAGGTCCTGCAAACCATCGATAAGTGAATAAATGAAGAAGGAATTTCCTCCATATCTTTTTTCCACCATAAAATAGTCGAAAAAACAAAATGGCTTCGCCCTAGCAGGTCAATCATGTGTGGAAAAATTTCATGCTCCTTATTTGGAAGGTTGACAACTCTGATGACCCGATAAGATATGTTTATAGAAATAAGAATACAGAGTTAAACTTAAAACAAGTAAAGATACCTTGTTGTATTGCTCTTGAAGAGAGCTGTCTGCACCTTCTGAACCTGAACCAATAGCTTTTGCATTGCATTGCCAAAATGTGCCAGATGGATCAGTGTAGTACCTGCAGTACAGGAAACAGATTTAATTCAGAGAAACATGAGTATGTAAACGAGAAGAGGACATACGAAACAGAAGCAACGATTAGGGAGTTTTTCAGTTTTCAGTTTTTATAAAGCATCTTATAACCTATCAATGTTTAATTGTTTATACATGTCAAATACTGCAAGACAAAGTAGACAAAGTATCACTTACAAGCTGGGCCCGTGCTCATCATGACCAGCAATTAGGAGAGATACCCCAAATGGTCGAGACTGCGAAAAGGAGTATAAAGAGCCAAGCATAAAGCAATGGTGTATTACTTATCAGTAAGAATACAGGAACAATACAAACGGGATGTTATATAGATGCCAAAAGATACTTCACCAGTATAAAAAATAAAGTCAAGTATATCATGGTTCATCTCTTTCTCAAAGATAAACAGGTATCTTAAAAAACTCTGGAATATCATCCTAAAATGCTTGATCATAAGTTGCTATATAATAACCAGTTAAATGAAGACAAGTATTATATTATATTAGCATTTCCCAAAATTACGCTAATCTTAATAAAAACTGACATTAAAAAAAATTCCTACCAAAGTAAGTAAATTTAATCATTTGACTAAAGATTAAAAACAGGAATTTTCATAGAACTAACAAAAGAAACGGTTATTACCATGGACTCTTCATCACCTTCACCAAATCTTAGGGCAAGATCACAGAGAGCTTGTGTTGTTGACTCCACAGTCATTGGCTCACCGTAGGAGAACCTATGATTCTGCAAAAACTGGAAGTTAGAAAACAAGTAAAAAGGTTAGGAGATCAAAGGGAAAAACCACCAAGAAAATTACCTGAGTTTCAACTCGTGCATGTTCAACAAGTGTACGAGCATCAGCAATCAGTCCACTCATGGCACATCCTATATGGTCATCAATTTCCATAATTTTCTCAACACTGCTGGGTTCCTGAAAGCAAAAAGTATAAAGTAGCATTCATCAATGAAACTGCAAATCTCTAGATATGGAAAATGAACAACTATATCCATGAAAAACGAGGAAGGGAGAGAGAGAGAGAGAGGAAAAATGAAACATTTTGGAAGACAAAAGTTGATCCACCCAATACAATTTTAAGATGAGATATTAATATAAACCTTCCAGAGGCTTTATTGCTCCTAATATAAGCATGATTCTTAAACAACATGATACTGACAGTTTGCAAATGCCGGACATAAAAAGTACCAAGTGTTGAAGGACAAAGGGTCTCTAACAATTCGACTTCCAAAAAGTAAGACATGTTATTATATACATTTGAAACAACCTCATAGGAATGTAATTTTCCTTGAGAAGAGAGGTGATCCAGCAGCATTGGTTTGAACTTTAAACTTATAGCCATAAAAACTTTTAATAATAAAAAGGTAATGGGTAAGTACAACGAAGTCATATAAAGAGTTAGTTTGCGGACCAGCAAAGGCGAAGTGATACGCTTCTCCACAGCAAGCACAACACCTTCTTTCGTCTTCAAGCCAATTGCAGTCGAACCCAGCTGTAATACATCAAAACCAACTACTCAAAATCCTACAGTTCATTAAAAATACAGCCAAAAATCATTAATATTTTTGAATTTGAGCGAAAGCGAGGATTCATAAGGTTAAGTACCTTGATGGCCTCAATGGCATACTCAACCTGAAACAACCTGCCTTCGGGGGAGAAAGTGTTTACTCCTCTGTCATACTCAGTCCTTCACAACACCCACAATCCCCACAATCAAATCAACAAGAAAATAAGTATATATATATATATATATATTATATTTGAGACAATTAATTCACTTCAGAAAATCCTCAAAAAATGCAATTCACCTTGTGAGAAACATTTTGCTCGGATTGGAACTTTGAGATTGATCTGAATCAACAACAATAAAAAACGAAATTTCTATCAGAGAATACAGACAGATCTATCTCTAGCTCGTAAACCAGAAAAAAGGGGTTTTACCCAACTACATTCTATACTAAATATGATCGGAAGAAATTAAATACAAAGATAAAAATTTGATATTTCTCGCAACCCAAACAGAAAATAGTGAGAAAAAAAAGCTCAGTTCTGTATCGACTCCTACTCGTGATTCAGTAGAGTCACAGAGACCTACACCAGCATATGCGCGTGTAGAGGGAGAAAGAGAGAAGTAAGAGAGAGAGAGAGAGAGAGTGTGTGTGTGTTACCGAATTAGTATGCGATTTGCTTCAATGCGACGAGTGCTGCTTCTGCAGAGAGAGAGAGAGAAAGAGGAGATTGTGTGATTTATGATGTGCTTTCGTGTTGGAGAAGAAGGGTTTTTCCTCTTTCTTCTTGTTCTTAAAAAAAAAAATTTAAAAAAAAAAAATGCAAACAGGATCGGGTCGGGTTATATTGTTTGGTCCAACCCGTACGGAATCGATGAAAAGCCCACTCAAAACCTTCTTCTCCAACAAGTAAAGCTCCAGTCTTTAGACCCCCTTTCTGTTCTTTCTGCCAAAACCACCCTCAAATCTCTCTCTTTCTCTCTCTGTCTTCGATTCTCAGAAGAAAATAAAAAGCTTCAGTCTTTCTCTCTCTAGAAAACAATGGGAGACAGCCAATACTCGTTTTCTCTTACCACTTTCAGGTAACTCTCTCTCTCTCTCTCTCTCTCTCTCTCTAGAAATTTAGCTTGGTTTTTGTGTTTTCTGATTTGTTTGCTGTGTATGGTGAGCAGTCCTTCAGGGAAGCTAGTGCAGATCGAGCATGCTTTGACGGCAGTCGGGTCTGGCCAAACCTCACTGGGGATCAAAGGTAACAATGCACTCAGTGTTTAGTCTGCACCCTTTGAAAGATTAGTCCTTTTGCTCTTCTTTGTGATGTGGGATCCTTACTATCGAATCGGTTTGCTGAATCAGTAATTAGATTATTGAAATATTAGTAAAATCTGGATGAAAAGCTCGATTTTTTATTTCACCTCCGAACTGAATTGAGCTGAAAGTTTCAAGAGAAAATAATTTGTGTACAATTTTTTTGATGGCTCAAATATATTATTTGATATTTAGATGCGAATGGAAAATTTAGTAATGATATGAAAGGCGCATTTAAAAGTCTGGGTTGTTTAATTGTGTTTATCTGGTTACTGCAGCTGCTAATGGGGTTGTTATTGCGACCGAGAAGAAGCTACCTTCAATCTTGGTTGATGAAGCATCCGTAAGTCACTCGTGGTCTCTCAGGATGGTTTCTATTATAAGTTTCAATTTTATGAAACCATTATATTAATATTTGTTTATGTTAAAATCAAGGCTATGTGCTAGTGATATAGCTTAGGGTTTGTGATGAGTCATATGATGATTACAAGTTTGTATCACTTTTAGCATTGCCAACTTAAGGACCCCCAAGCATGCTTCATATAATAGATGTGCCCGAACAACATTTTTGTTTTCATAGGTTTGTTTCTCTTGTTTATGGTCTGATCTGCATGGTTAATTTTCCCCTCTCCTGTTCTAAAAGTGTCCTTTTTCTTTTCTCTAGAGCTTCGTTTTACAATAAACTTTAATTACTGTGATGAATTGTAAATTGTTCCACTTTCTTGGTTTCAGAGTCACCCAGGTTTTCTCTCCTTACATGTTCATTTCTGATGATATTTACTTTCTTTGGCCAGGTTCAAAAAATACAGAGTTTGACGCCAAATATTGGACTTGTTTACAGGTTTGCTTTCTGGCCAATTCCTGTGATGAGGCTCCTTTTTTACTGAGTTACTTCATAAAGACGATGTTGCATCTAGTAGTTAGTGTAAGGATGATTAAATGATGCTTCGTTTTGTGGACTTTCTAGTCATTAGTCCTTACTCTTCTTGTAAAGTTTTTTAACCTTTGACCCTGTAACATGGTTTACAAGGTCATGTGTATTAGAGACTTGGGTATAATACCATAAAGCTAGCATTAGAAAGCTCAACCTAGAGGACTGGTATATCGAGTTACCTACAATTTCAAGAGAAACACTAGTTTTCTTTCCTTAGTGTTACTTGTGAGGAATTTCCCCCCCTATTTTGCTTAAGTATTTACTCTACTGATGAATTCAGACACCATTGAATTTAGAGAAACTTGATGAGCTTTCTACTGTGATATATAGACTCTAAAGGATCATATTATTGATGTGAGTATGGAACATGTGTTGGTTATGCAGTAGTGTGTGATAAGTACGATTCTAAATGAAGAAAAATAGATAACACTGCATGCATGAACTTGCATTTGGAATTTTGGAGACTACAATTCTGGCTCCTGAATGATCACATTTGGATCGACATGAGACCTGACTATTGTATTTTGACAGCAGTTTCAGCATCCTAATATTTTGTGGCTTTGTTGAATCTTTTATTTGTCGTCATTCAGTATGTAGTTATTCTTACCCTTACTTACTCTCCTGCAGTGGCATGGGTCCTGATTTTCGAGTCTTGGTTCGAAAAAGCAGGAAGCAGGCAGAACAGTATCACAGATTATATAAGGTACTGATTTTTTCTTCTCTTCTATTTGATCCTTTTTTTTTTAAGGTGATGTGACAAATGTTCATCATTCCCTTATCAAGTTCTTCTGAACTATAATAATAAGATGTTCTTGTATATTGAGAAGGTTATAACCCTTGTAAAACTATCATGTTTCTAGGAACCTATCCCTGTTACTCAGCTTGTGAGGGAAACTGCGGCTGTTATGCAGGAGTTCACTCAATCTGGGTAATTATCACACTTTCTGTGTCTATATAAATTGTGGTTCATTTTTTTATACACAACGCCTAGGCCCATTTTTCATTACATTGAGAAATCTTTTGGCCGTATCTGAAACCAATAGTCTCTAGGTGATGTTAGCTTTAAGGCAATTGCAGCTGAGTTTGGGTAGTTGAACTTGAAGATGAGCAACTGAAGGATATTCATGTTATAAATAAAATTTACTGAAATAGTTTTCTTTCCTGCTTTTGTAGTGGTGTAAGGCCATTCGGAGTATCTCTTCTGGTTGCTGGGTTTGATGACAGTGGTCCCCAACTATACCAGGTATTTTCATTTTCCAGTGTGTATTTTCTTGTAAACATTTTCTCTATTTGTTGTTTCTGGTTGCAAATACAATGCCAATCTAAGGAAAGAACGTTTCTATTTCAATTTAACAGAGTTTGGAACAAATTCTTGTAGCATATTTAGGTGGGTTGCTGCCCAATATTTAGTTTTGTTAGTTAAACAATTGTTTTTTTCTGTCGTAGATATATCTATTATGTGGAATATGTTACTTATAACAAAAATTGGGTTGTTAAGTTGACCATTAGTAATCTTGCTTGACCTGAATTAGGGCTCGTTTGCATGTGCTTTTAAAATGACTAAAAGCGCTTTTAGAGAAAATATTTTTAGGTTCCAAAAGCACTGTGCTTTCTACAAGAAGCACTAGTTATGTCCTTCTTTCAAGAAGCACTTTAAGTGCTTTTCCAGGATTTACAAGCACTTTTACTAAGGATTGTTTCCAAAAATATTTTCACCAAAAGCGCTTTCATTCATTTTAAAAGCACATCCAAATGAGCCCTTAATCATTTCAACCTCTTCATGCAATGGGTTGTACTCATAGCTCTATTTTGGATGGTCGGTTAGGAGAAACTGCTGTCAGGAATAGTGTTAAGAAAATTATATTTTGTCCTATGTGGACAGTAATATGATAGCTAATTCTGCAACTATTATTATTTCTAATTTATATTTCCCTGTAGGTTGATCCTTCCGGTTCATATTTCTCGTGGAAAGCGTCTGCAATGGGGAAGAATGTCTCAAATGCAAAAACTTTTCTTGAGAAGAGGTACTCAGACATGTATTTTTTTTTCGGTCGAACACTTGGACATGGTTTATGCTGGATACTTTAACTAAAATTTCAGTCTCAATTTTTTTTTAGTCTTCAAAGGTGAAGTGTGTCTCATTATTATTCTTTTGTAATAGGTATACTGAAGATATGGAGCTTGATGATGCTGTGCACACGGCTATTTTGACTTTGAAGGAGGGGTATATATACATAACTGTTAACTTCCAGAACTTATTTATTTATTTATTCTTTTATGAATACATAATGCTTAGGAGCCACAGAAAGAGGAAGAAACTTTGTTATCTGTTAGCGGTATAAGTAGTTGCTTTATATTTGATGCAGATTTGAAGGACAAATCTCAGGAAAAAACATTGAGATTGGGATAATTGGCACGGACAAAAAGTTCAGGTGAGCTTCGTTGTTAATTCCTGCTAAGGCATCATTTCTCTTAATTCCTTTCACTGAAAGATATTTGTCATTGCATGAAGTACTTTATCAAGATATAGGGTGCATGTAAACATGCATGTGACATGCAAAATCCGATGAAAAAATATGGTATTATGCCAACGTGTTAGGAAAGGGAATCCTTCACCCCCTACTCTTATTTAGGTCCAAGGAGCCAACTTACTCACCTCTTAGCTAAGTGCTAAAGGATTAGCTTTGACTTCTCAAAATTGAAAGTATTTTCCGCCTCTTTAAAGAAGGCGTAACTAAATCTGGACTCTGTTTTTGGACCCCAAACCTAAGGAAAACTAACCAAAAGTCCAACAAAACTTTAGTTTTAATGAAAATTGATAAATAAAGGTGTAGTGGACTGGTATCAGGAAAAGGTAAAAATGTGGTTTTTCGTTAAAAGTGAACAGTACCAGAAGTGTTCCGTTAAAACTCCCTTGTTTTTAATGTACTTGGTATAGACACCTGAAGAGATGAACAGATAGGTGTGCGCTTGTGACGCCGCTCCAGAGTCCTTGAGCCATCCAGGATGGCAGCAAATTCTTTTTCATTGTAGCTAATTTGAGTTGCTACTGCCCTTCAAAACATTGTTTTTAATTATAAACGATTGCTCATTGCTCATTGTAGTGTATCTCTAATTAATTGTGCTTACCTTGTTGCAGAGTGCTAACTCCAGCAGAGATTGAAGATTATTTGGCTGAGGTGGAGTAGTGTGTGCCTGTTACTGCAGAAAGTTCAAAAACATTACTTTTAAAAATTCCCACTTTATGTTGCATGATGGTTACATATTTTAGCAAAAATGATTTGGTACACGATTTCATGCGGGCGGGTGAATCTTCAGGAACCGGATCACAAACTTATCGAGCTCAAGCAGGCATTACAGTTGCCACCATTTGTAGCCTTAAGCCTGACAAATCCTAGACTCGTTGCGAACAGCTTTGAACTTATTGGCCCCAAAATATGCACTCTTTTTATGAACTCTGCATGTATGAATTGAAAATGGAACTTCTATCTGTTCGTTGCCAGTCTACGGGACTTCACGCCCGCATACTTTCCCGAATACTCAACATAAAATTGTCATTCTTTGATATTCGAACTTGACATCTCTTTCACTTGGCGAGAAGTACTACTAAACTAAGAATTAGTTGGTCACCGTCGTTAAATCCCAAAACAACCTTTTTTCAAAAAAGGCATGTCATAATATGAATCTATAGATGGTTTGTATTTATATTTTAGCAAGAGAGCAAAATTTGGATTGAAGCTAAGGTGGGTAAATAAGAACAAGAGAATGAGAAAATAATAAAGATAAGAGATATATTCTCCTTTATATATCTAAGGTGTGGGATATTTTGAAATTTATATGTTTTGTCCTTACCTACCTGCATGCCATCAAACACTATCTTCTCTCACAAACTGGAAGCTCCTCCTCCTCCAATTTCCAAACACTCATGTGAGCTCCTTCTTCCTTCACCCACTCTCTGTCTGTCTGCATACAGGATTTTTTCCGGTGTCCCAGAATACAAATCAAAGATCTAACAGTTAAAATGCTCGGAGCACCAAAAAAATTTCGTCTGTATACAATACAGTTCTACTGTTTCTTGTTACTGGTTTTTGAGTCTGTTAAACTTCTCTCTTTCCGGATTGTTGGTTTCAATGGGATTCAACGGCGGGTGTGCGTGAAAATTCCCAATACTGACTGCTTCACAGTTATTAAGGGTGCATTGTGTTAAATTTCATGGAAATTTAATTTAATTTAATTTAAGAGCTACTTAGTTTGTGTTCATCGCTTGTATGCACTATACTTTGTGAGGTATGTAAGTTGATTCGAATGAGCATTCCGATGGTTGATAGAAATTTCATTTGATGGCATGCATAGGTTGATCGCTGAACGCGCCATTAGTTATATTTTTGTTGCGTCAAGAAGCTGCAAGAGTGATGCAAGATGGAAAGCCAAGAGTTCCAGTAGTAGAGCTGTTGAGAAGAGCAAGGGCGACGGACTTTACATTGACAAACGCGGAAAATTCAGAAGCTTCAATAACAAGAAACTGTCTAGGAAACGATGTAATCACAACATTGTACTCATTTTGTTGTCTTAGCAATAGATGTTATCTCGCATACGTACATCTTCAACAGTGCATACCATCTTCTTTGTCTAGGTGGTTCTCTAAGGGGCCGGGGATGGAAATATGGATCGGGGTTTGTGGACGGAGTTTTCCCTGTGATGAGCCCCACTGGTCAGCAGATACTGGACTTTGTACAGAAGGAAGTCGATCAAAACAGTATTTGGGAAATTCTTGACACTCTTCCAGCCTCTCATACCATATGGGACGATATCATTAACGTAGCTGTTCAACTTCGTCTCAACAAACAGTGGGGCTCCATAATCTTGGTGAGAAACTAGCATTCCCCTTCTGATATCATTGATCTTTACCTAAAGTTTCTTTGGAGGGTTTTTGTTCGTTGCTATTCTTATTCTTGCACTCAATAGTTTGACAATCGACTTTCAACTCGATATTTTTTAGTGTAATGTTGTGATCATTTGTCCAGATATGTGAGTGGATATTGTACAAGAGCTCCTTCAAGCCAGATGTCATCTGCTACAATTTACTTATCGACGCTTATGGGCAGAAGTCGCAACATAAAGATGCAGAATCAACATATTTGGAACTTCTTGAAGCTCGATGCGTACCTACTGAAGACACCTATGCCCTTCTTTTAAAGGCGTACTGCAAGTCTGGGTTGTTCGATAAGGCTGAAGCCATCTTTGTCGAAATGCGGAAGTATGGTCTTCCACCAAGTACGCTTCCGCTCCAATTTGTAGCCGTTTATATATATATATATACACACACACACACACACACACACATATATAAATGTTGGAATCTCAAAAATCAAAACCTTGTCCCAGCTTGTTAGTTTATCAGATGTGACCGATTGCATTTCCTTCAAACCAAGTACAATGTGAAGTCATGCAGAAAAATCCTAATTTTACTCAGGTGCAATCGTGTTCGATGCTTACATTAACGGGTTACTAAAAGGCGGAAACCCTCAAAAAGCAGTAGAGATCTTTCAGAGGATGAAGAGAGATCAATGCCAGCCATCTACTGAGACGTATACGATGCTAATCAATTTATACGGAAGGGTGAGCCTTGCTGCATTTTCTCCTAGTCTCTGTGAGCTTCAAGTCCTTTGCTTTTCTATGACCTTATGCTGGTTAAGTTCCATACCGTCAGATAACTAACAAGAAAATGTCGTTTACTTAATAAACAATACGACAGAAATCTCCTCAAGATTTATGGTTTGTGCAGGAAAGGAAATCTTTTATGGCTCTAAAGCTGTTTCAAGAAATGAAAAGCCAGAAATGTAGACCCAACATATGCACGTATACAGCTTTGGTAAATGCATTTGCGAGGGACGGACTTTGTGAGAAAGCGGAAGAAATTTTTGAGCAGATGCAAGAAGCAGGGTATGAGCCTGATGTGTATGCGTACAATGCCCTTATGGAAGCTTACAGGTTAGTATCTGATGAATTCTGTAGTTTAATTTGAGCAGTTTGATCAAGTACAACTGTACAAAACTTCCATTGTATGATAAGCAGCACTATAAACCCAAACTTCTATAAGATTTCGCTCCCTACAGTCGTGCAGGGTTTCCTTACGGAGCTGCAGAAATTTTCTCTCTAATGCAGCACATGGGATGTGAACCCGATAGAGCTTCGTATAATATCATGGTAGATGCATATGGGAGAGCTGGTCTTCATGAAGGTAAACATTAACAATTAGACCTCATACTTTTCACTCATTTCCCTTGAAGTAATTTGATTTTCACTCATTTCACTTGAAGATGAGATGAAATTGCTTCGAGGCACCATTGTGATTGCGATTGAAACTCATACGACAGAGTCTGTTTTCGATCACTATATTCTAAGTCCTATTATCTTCATCATGTATCTTTTTTTTCTGTATGCATATCAGATGCACAAGCTGCGTTTGAAGAGATGAAGCGGTTAGGAATAACCCCGACAGTGAAATCCCATATGCTACTTTTATCCGCCTACTCCAAAGCTGGCAACGTATCAAAATGCGAGGACATTGTGAACCAGATGCAAGAGTCCGGGCTGGAGCTAGACACTTTCGTCATTAACAGCATGTTAAATCTGTATGGCCGGTTAGGCCATTTAGAAAAGATGGAGGAAGTTTTGACAGCAATGGAAACAGGACCCTACGTAGCTGATATCAGTACATACAACATCTTGATTAACATATATGGACGGGCAGGATTTTTCGACAAGATGGAAGAGCTGTTTCAGTCGCTTCCACTCAAAAACTTGAAACCGGATGTTGTGACATGGACTTCGCGTCTTGGAGCATACTCGAGAAAGAAACTATACACGAGATGCTTGGAAATTTTCGAAGAAATGATTGATGCCGGTTGCTATCCAGATGCCGGAACTGCCAGGGTACTTCTTGGAGCGTGTTCAAGCGACGATCAAACCGAGCAGGTTAGTACTGTTATTAGAACTATGCACAAGGAGGTCAGGACTGTTTTACCTATCTGATGGATGGATTTTGTAAATACTGATCATGAAGTAATACATCTTCTCATCCTAACCGTCCATCCCTTCATCAAAATCATCACAAAGGATTAGACATTAAGAGTCAAAATGTCTACATAAGCTATAACAGTAAAAAAAAAGACCACACTAATGTTCTCCATCCGAAATGTCAAATCCTATGTGGCGATGACATGGATTGGCAGCAAGAGAGTTGCTGTCAAATTTGACAGTAGCTTCAAATTAATTATGAATGCTTTTTATTAATTTCTTTTTATTGGTTTCATCATCATTGCAATTAATGTTGTTGTTGACCAGTTTCCCTTTTGTTCAATTGAGGTAAGTGAACAGTCCCCTTTTGTTAAAAAGAAATGATGAACGGTCCTGATTTCATAATTATTAGATGCCTTTTATTAAGTTTTTATTAATTTAATCATTTATTTTATAACATAATAAAATAATAATTTAATTTGACATATCGGGTGGACAATAAAACTTTAAAAGATGTCAAAATGCCCCATAGGCTGTCAAATTTAAATTTTATGTTTAAAATTTGACATCTTCTTTAGAGATGCTCTAAGGTATGCTCATGGCTAAATTGCTCAAGCTCCATATCTTCTCTATGCAACTGAGGGTAATTGCAAGAGGGAAGCTAGCATGCCCAAATAACTGTTACGTTGTTAGATTGTCATTTCAACCACTCAACTAACTTGGATGTCTATTACTCTGTTCTCCACCTGCGCTTTGTATCACTCGAGAGTATGACAAACATTTCATGTGTACGAGTAATGAATTCCAATCTCACAAGAAAGGGAGAAACAAAAATGTCACAAGAAAGGGAGAAACAAAAATGTCACCAGTGGCCATACTTTCAATAAAATGATAATAAAATAATTTCCACTTGTGTTAAAAAGGCCATGGTTTTACAGAATTTCCATGCAACCGCTGATATCCAATATAAAAATTAATTAATAATAATCCGACATTATCACTTGCTCTGCCACAGTGACACTCACCAACTTCGACCTATTAGGTTTTTTGATGAATTGACACACCATCTCATATCTCCATTTATTTTTCTATTTTTCCGGAAATGTATTCTCAAATACTCGTTTCTATATATTTTAATTTATTTCCAAACGTATCATAATTCAACAAAAAAAAAAAAAATAATAATAATAATAATTAGGGAAAGTGGAAAGAAATATAAAAGCACACCCCACCAACCGTATATAAAAAAGGACTGAAGGTTTTATAATAAAAGAGAGAGTTTTTCTGTTGGATTTCACAAATGGCTTCAAGGTTGATGTGGGCTTCAAGGGCTGCTTCCTACCTCAGAATCCAAACCACCCATAGAGGGTTTGCTTCTGGTAAGCTAACAAAAACCCCACAAACTTCCCACTTTCCTTGGATCATTTTTTCATTTTTTCCGATTTGCTTTATTGTTTCTGCAATGATCTTTGAGAAAGATGAATGCTTTTGAACATGGGTTGCTTTGTATTTTCTTGATTAATGCTGGGATTATTGAGGATTTGGTATTTTGTAACATGGTTTTTGGTGTTGGTGATGAACTGATGATGTGGATCTCTGTTATGTGTTTGTTGAAATGCCTGATCTATGACTTGTTGCAGCAAAAGATTTGATTTTTCCTGATGGGTTGCGTGTGTTTTTGCCAAATTTTTTGATTTGATATCGGTTGTGGATTTAATCTTCAAGAGGTATGGGTTTGTGCGTCTTTTCCGTCTTTTGATGTTAGTGGTATGATATCTGTGCATTGTGATTCAACAGTTGTTTTGATTGATTAGAATTGGTTTCAGCTGTGAAGTGCTGTGAAATTGTGAATGGTGTTTGACTGGTATGTATTCGGGAATTTCATTTCGTTCGTTTGAGTTACAAGTTCGTGTCTAGATAAATATATCGTTTCTGTATTACTTTGAATGAGCAAAAAGTTTACTGAGGAGGTAAAGGATCTCTCTTTCTGTCTCTTGTTGCAACTTGGCTTGTAAAAAGCAATTAAAACACTCTCGAAGTGGGTTTTCATGACCAAAAAAGCAGTATTTTTGTTCTGTTTTTGCCCAATGACCTGATGAGTTATCGTGTTCATTTGGACCTAATGCTAGTTCTACATTGTTATGTGTCGAAGCCCAGAAAGAAGTGTTATTAATGTGTTGATAGATGGAATTGTAATTAGATTCATGTTTGGATTTGCAACGGGTAAATTTCCGTAGCTTTGTGGTGGTTTCAGCTTTTATTTTTCTGTTTACTGCAGTTGTGAAGGATTTCAAGTATGCCGATTCTCATGAGTGGGTTAAGGTTGATGGAAACTCTGCAACTGTTGGAATAACCGATCATGCTCAAGATCATTTAGGTGATGTTGTGTATGTTGAGTTGCCAGAAGTGGGGGCTTCTGTGAAGCAGGGTGAAGGCTTTGGAGCAGTCGAAAGTGTCAAAGCAACCAGTGATGTTTACTCTCCCGTGTCAGGGAAAGTGGTTGAAGTCAATGAAGAGCTTAGCAACTCCCCTGGTTTGGTAGGTACCCTTATCCTATATTAGTTCTAGAGTCGGTATGCTGATGCCCAGGTTGCATTTGTGTGCAATTTTTACTACTTTTGTTGTCGTTCTTATTAGTATTTTGCTACGTTGTAATTTGGGTAAGTTCTTATATCTAAAGTAGAAATATGATTAAGAATTAACATTTTGAATATTGTTGATGCCCCATATTTAAATGAGAAGTCATGAAAGAAGGACTTCTTTGTAATCTCTTGAAAGGTTAAAGTAAACAAGGTTAGTTCTAAATGACTATTTCGGTTATAAGCTCATCTATTTTCCGATGCTGGACACAAACACAATCAACGCTTGGATAAACATTAGAAGACACTTGCAACTAATAGGTTTATTTGTGTTAGTTTAAAGTTACTGGCCATTTGAGAAATTTTTAATCATCTCTTCAAGTTTTATCCCCAACCATTAAAAGTCTTCGTCTTTGAAAGTGATGCTTTTGTTAAACTATGTATGCGCTACGAACATCACTTCATTATAGACACATCAGAAAAGATTCCTCACCAGTCACCCCCTAGTGTCTTCCCTGTGTTAACGTTTGATTCACTTTTTGAGAACTAGGTCAACGCAAGCCCATACGAGGAAGGATGGATAATGAAAGTTGAGATCAGCGATAGTAGTGAACTGAATAAGTTGTTGGACTCAGAAAAGTACACCAAGTTTTGTGAAGAAGAAGATGCACATTGATTGATCTGGCCAATGGCAGCAGGCGGTTCTCACGGATGGGTTGCTTCTGCACAGAATGTTACAGGGGTAGTCAAAACTGCAAATTCACCTTTCTACTTTTCTGCTGTGTTTTTACTCCGCTTTGCTTTCGCATGAGTAATCAATTTTAGTGAGATTGTTGTTTCGATCTGGATAATGAATTGTAAGTTTTGTCGTTCTCCTATTCGGTCTGTCCATTGATGTTGTAGCAGATCTGGAATTTTGTGAAATGTTCTTTATTGAGAATGAAGTGCAACAAATTGAAGAGGAATAATTTCAAACATGTTTTGGGAAGTCAATTGCGATGTGGATACTTTTTTCGGGGTTAAGCTTCAAATGAGATGATAGATTCAGTAAACAGCAACGAATTGTTTTATGAATTTGAGTCGCATCTTTTCATACAATGGTGGGCAAATCGAGCCACTGCCGGCATTAATCGAGAAAACCTGACCGTCATAGTTAACAACTAGAAACCGGCCTTTATGGTAAATTGAATCACAAAATCCGATCACTGTACGTATAATTATGGGTTGGTTTGGTATTGTTGTGCTTTGAAAAAAAACTGTTTCTGCTGTGCTGTGAGAATAACTAGCTGTGAAATAAAGCAGCAGAGTGTTTGGTAAACTTTTTTGTAAAAGTGCTTTTGAAAAAAAATAATAATTTTATAGTGTTTGGTAAACTTTTATGTAAAACAGATGTGAAAAAAAACCGATTTTTCAAAGCTGGGTTTTGCAGCTTCTTGTTTTTGGCTTTTTTTCACCCAAAACTGTGAAAAAAAAGCTAAAGCTGAATGTTTACCAAACACAAAAACAGCTCCCAGCTTTTTTTTATACCAGCTTTTTTCAGAATCACCTCAGTACCAAATCAGGCCTGGCCTATGTGACTCCAACCGTCATCCCCCGACTTAAAGTGGGCTACATTGCATCTAGCATGATCAAACACTACCAGAACTTCATAATCATTTGAACGGTCAGCAGACAATAAAACTCTGGTAATGTTGTAATCACATTCAAAAGTTTCCGCCTGCGGTGGGACTTCCGTGACTGGTGGAAGGCGAATGGTACGTCCGGTGAAGGGGTTTAAGAGCGTTATTGCCAAATTGTCATCCGCAAAAGCCAGCCAACCATGGGAAGAACCGCCGCAACACTTCTTGTAAGCACAAACAACTCAAAGTTGTAAGGCTTACCTTGCGTGACACTGTACAAGCCATGCCTTTCGCCGCTGTGGTGTTTGGTAGGAATCATGAGCATAGGAAGCTGGTTGTGGCGATATTTGACGCGCTGCTGCTTGTGATGCAAAGCTACTGATTCCCAATGCTTGCAGACCGCGCTAAACCGGATATAGGTCAAGAGATTGGTATCAAATTTTCTAGGATCGAATCCAGAACGTGGCTCGGGAGCCATGCCCAGCCTAAAGTCGAGGGCCTCGATGCGTCTTCCAGAGTGGTAGACATGACTTTTTTAGGCATGGATTTCAATCATTGACTACTTATGAGGTATGAGGGCAGGAGGCTATTCTTAGTAGCCTATGGATTCCTTAGGTTATGACTTTTTATCCTTGTATGGTTCAATATGGGCACAGCATTCTGTCGAGAATGAATCCCAAATTGATGGGAGAGTGACCTTCATGGGCTTATAAATAAGTTGGGCTACTCCTCGTGAGGCTATTGCCTTAAACCTCAAGGCTTTCGCTTAGGCGGGGCTATCTATGAAACGCCTTGGCTTCTCCTTCGCCTTTTAAAGCATTGCTTCGGACACTTGGGAATGCTCATTATGTTTGATATCGGTTAAGGTTTTCCCCTTAAACTTGCTATTGTGCATTCTCCTACGTTTCTCTGCAGTACTATGTTTTAAGTACCACATACTTTTTTGTCATCAATTTTTTCTGTAGTTTTAAGTGTTCGTACTTCATACTATTATTACTATCTTCAAAGGTATGCACATTGGAAGCTCGACGTCCTTATTCCAACATTTGAGGCTTACATTTACGATTGCAAACAAATGAAAGCACAGCTTCAAATTATTACATCAAATGGAAGAGGCAATAAAGAAAAAAATGGAACTGTATTTTCACACCATGGTGGGCAAAATCCAAATTGCTGGCGGCATGTGTTTCTGTGAACGATCCAAGCAGTAATGCCTTCCCATGCTTTTGTTTTCTATGTCGAAGACACCCATGTCATGAGGCCCTTTAGGTTTATGACAAGCAACATCAACACAATCATCGGTGAAGTATATGGAATTCGGCCGACACCCTTGAAAGTGCGAGGCAGAGACACACATCGATTGATTTGTACCCAAAAACAAAGCATCGTTTCCGATACTCTCAACCTCAACCCATTGGGGTCTATCCTCATAAGAAGAGAACAGCTTAAAAACCTTGAAGCTCAGAGTCTCCGTAAAGCGATCATAACCATTTACTTGTTCAAACTCTAGCTTTTCAAACTTGAAAAACTTGAAGCTCAAAGACTTCACAAAGCGCTTACAATAAGTCAATCTCTGGAACTTCCTAATCAGCAATAGATCTCCCCGGGACGATTGCGCTAGGTATGTTTTGTTATCAGTGCCAGGAGACATCGGTACAACAACGCTTACATCGGGTTTAGCAGTTTGGTCACTACTAACATTAATCGAAAAAACACTGCCATCCAAACTAACAGCTAGAAACTGACCTTTATAATAAGTCACATCATCGAATCCGATCACTTGATCGATGCAAGTCCAAGCTTCATCCCCTGACTTAATATGTGCTATTCGTTTTCCATAACCATCATAGATGACCACAGCTTCATAATCATTTGGAAACAACGAAGGGTTAGCAGATAATACAACCTTGTTAATGTAGTAATCACATCTAAAAAAAGCCCTTGCTCTAGACGCGGATGCGGGGACGGGAGGAAGGCTAATGGTACGCCCGGTAAAAGGGTTTAAGAGGGTTACTACCAAATTGTCATCGACACAAGCCAACCAACCGTGGGAAGAACCGCAGCACCTCTTGCTATAAGGCACATGCAACTCAAAGCCGTAAGTCTTACCTCGTGTGACGCTATACAGGGAACGCCTTTTGTTGCTACTGTCCTTAGTCGGAACCATCAGCATTGGAAGCTGGTTGGGCCGTGATTTGACGAGGCGATGCTGCTTGTGATGTAACGCAGCTGATTTCCAATGCTTGCAAACTGCGGTAAACCGGATATAGTCAGAGATGGGTATCAACTTTTCTAGTATCAAACCCAGAACGTCGGCCGGAAGCCATGCCCAGCCTGCGACTGAGGTCGACGCTTCTTCCATAGTGCTGCAGTATTTAGGCCTGGATTGGAACTCCATCTCATTGATAAGGTACATCAAGGAATCAAAGGAGGCTTGTCATTGGTGAGTTGTCCTCCTCCGTTACGGCAAAACCGATGAAAAAATATGATTTATTTTCCTTGTATATCTGTTCAGTGCGGCCATGTTTAATTTAAAATCTTTTTCCTTGAATATATTATATGGTTCAAGATGGACATAATGTAATTTATTATTTAAGAAGGATCCAAAAATATAATGTAATTTATAATTTAAGAAGGTTCCAAAAGTAACAAGCTAGCTGGATTGTAATGAATAAACTACTATTTTCGAGGTATTTTGAAGGAAGAAGTGAAAAAAAAAAAAAATACGGCAACTTGAGGTAGGATAATCCTCCCTAAAATGGTAGGATTAGAAGAGAGAAGTTTCTTTCATGTCTATCCATTCCTAATCTCCTCAAAATGAAAAATCCTCCTCCTCTATATCTTCAATATACCTTGAACTTAGCTAGAGGGCTATCAATTCCAATCGATCCTAGACACCAAATGATGCAAGTGCTCTCTTCGGGCCTCTTTGGCTAAAATTTTAGAAAGCTCGAAAAGTAACAAACCTTATTTTTAACATCATAAATTGTTTATATACAATGCAGAGAATTAGAAAATAGCATCATAAAACTGATCCTGTCTTAAGTTTTTAGCTAAAATCTATCTCTAGTCTTGACCAATGGGGCAGCAGCAGGCACTTGTCACGAATGGGTGGTCGATTTCTTTTGTACACAAGGGAGAATTATGTAACATGGGAAAAGAAGTCAAAGAGTGCAAAATTTCCCTCTCTGCTTTTATTCGATTTTTCAACATGTGAGGTTTTACATAGATTTACAAATGAATTTAACAAAATAGAGCTTTTATTAGAAGATATGAGGATTCAAATGTCCAGGGATGGAGTTGTTGCTTTGCTCAGCCTGCTTTAGATGCATTGTCAAGGCATAGTTGTTCACCTCTAGCGTTCTACACTGCTCCTGATATTGGGACACAAGCTGCTTCACATGCTGGAATTCCCGGTTCCTCTCTTCATATTCTTTCAAACGTTCGTGCTGGATAGCCACAGCCCGTTTCAGGATAGTATTCTCCTGCACCAGTCCTTCAATATGTTGTTTCATCATCATATTTTCCTTTTCGAAACTTTTGGCTACCTCAGCACCAGAGCGTGCACTGATTGATTTTTCTAAATCCTGTAGAAATTTAGCAGCACGAGACCTAGCATCATCCACGCTAATGGCACTCATCATTTCCCTTATAAACAATTCAACCCATTCCGCACCATCTGCAGGCAAGTTGCTTGGATTATCCATAGTGGCTGCAACTTCATCTTTAGCCAATACACCGTTAACTATAGTATCAGCTGGTTGTTCAAGATCTACAGATGCGGAAGTCTCCTCCTCGGATCCTAGGCAAAGCTCATGCAGCCTCTTGATGGCCGCATCAATATCGTCACCACATTCTTCCAATGCCCTCTCGAGAAGGTGAGGGTCCATGTGAGAGAAAAAGAGTGCGAAGCTGATCGAGAATATATGGATCAAAGAAGCGACTGGGAGTAGTAGTAGAAGACGAACAGCGAAGCCTCTTTGTGAGGGCTGGAAACGGAGGATGCCTCTCTGTGAGAGGCGACTATTGATCTTCGAAGAAGGACCTCTTTCTTCCACACACCGCCGCAGACGTATATCCTTCAGCCTATCTCTTAATTGCAAACGAATCAACCAGACCACCGGTTTTGAATCCGATGATTTTACAGATAAGTAATGGGTTTTTGTCTTTGGGGTTAGGGTTTCGCGTTTGGTGCTTTATTATTTGGTTTGGCCTGTGATTGTTGTTCTTTGTTGGTCCTGAGTAGGAAGTATTTATATGGGTCAATTAGAATCCTTGTAAGGCCAGAAGATTGAAACCTTTTCATGTTTGAATTATTACATAGTCTTTCCTTGCAGGAGAGGGATAGAGGTCTGAAACCCTAGATCAAGAACGGGTATACGTAACTTCCAAAGGCAATTGGGGTATTCCCTTTTATGATGAAACGTGACCTCCAAGCAACAAAAAAAAAAAGACTTATCATATTAACACTCCACAAATTGTTGAATAAACCTCACATTTACTTTTCCTGTAGATTAACACACAAATAGTAAATTTAATTTACTGCAGGTAGTGTTGTGAAAACTTGATCACGGGCCACATGGCTGGGTTGAATGACCTTATAAGCATCCAACCTCACAACCTTGCCTTCATCTTTCATAGCCCTAAATCTCTCCATAACATAAGGCAAGTAAGAATTCATGACCTTTTCCTTGTGTCGCAAGTCAAACACAAGCCCAAAATATTGCTTTTTCGATCTGGAACATTGTAATTTGAAGAAGAAGTTGAATTGTACTTGAAATTCTTGGAATTCAGCCGGATCCCTTTGGACATGTCATCGAACTCTTGGTTGTTCAAATACTGGATGGTGATATTAGTCTTTTTCCGAGCTTGCGCAATTTTTGAGAAGCCGAGCTGAAGGGCTGATCTTGTCTTTCAAGTACAGATCTAACGCATTGTAGACTTTGTTACATCCAGCGATAAGTGAAGTTTGAAGAATCCGTCAAGGAACGAAACAAGAATTCGTATCATGGGCAGTAAGAAGTACTCCATGGCTTAGGACCAAACTGTTGGAAAAAATAGGGTCTAATTGCTATATTAAATCACATGAATATCAAGAAATAATTCATGCAATTATATATCAAAGTAACTGCATGCACATGAGTAACCAATGTTAAATGAACATGACATAATGAATTAGAAAAACCTGGAAATACGGTCGAGGCAAGTGTTAGACACTCTGTCCTTAAGACAAGTTTACGTCCCACTGCGATGTTCATGGTTTATCGGCACATGTCTCTCAAGATACAACGACCACGTTCTTATAATAGTAGCACTCCAAATCACAAGGCTCCACGAACCACAATTGTGTTGAAAACTCTCTCATTTGGACTTAATGAGACTCTCTAATATTTAGTACACTCTGTATGATTATGTAAAACAATGAAAAGTTATTTTGTGATTATAGGAGGCTTTCCTATTTATAGAATGTGAAATACTTCTTTGAAAAACATGTAAATATTCATGAAAAGTCAAAAGTTACAACTCTAATTTCCATTCAATTAATAAATTTAATATAATAATATTATTATTAAATTTTCCAACACAAACAAGAATCAGATAAGCAACCATATTGGAAGGACAAGCTGGAGGTACCTTTGTCATATAATCCATATTAACAAAATCTGCAAACTTTTGGAAACTAATCCCAGAAATAAACCTCAATTATTATCAATTAAACCTTCTGAAGAAGATAAAGGGAAAATTATGATTTAGGAAACCTAATTTAGAAATTATCATAAAAGGAAGAGTTAACTGAGTGATTGAGTCTGCTCATCAACTGAAAGAAGAACATAAGTCAATAAGTCCTCTAATAGTCAATGGGGAGTTTGAAGTCTTGGTCAATGAATAAGTTCTACCCAATACCATTAGGAAAAAAATCACTATGGTGCCGCTTGTGTATGAGATGTGACTTTTATTTTTCGTTTTCATTTTGAAAGGTCTTCTTGATTAGGTGTAACTTCGGTTTTTTAATTTCATAAAGTATCATGACGAATTGTTGAGATTTCTTTAAAAATAAAAATAAAATAATTTATTATAATGAAAGATTTTCATTTTTGTCAAGCAAAAATTGACAGGTAGTCTATTATGTCTTGTTAAACCCACTTGAATGATTCAAAATTGACTAGTGCCCATTTGGAATTATTTTAAGGAGAGCCAAAATCACACTTGACGAAAATGTGCTTCTCCGTAAAGTCACTTGAAAATTAATTCATGCAATTTTATAAAGAAATACTTTTTCGCTACGATTCATTGTCAAAATTAGTCCAAGGTGCATATAATGGGCCCAACCCGACCCATATTATCCTGCCAATATGTCGATCTAGAACCATTCCTATTAGCATTGCATAAGCCTATGGTTAGCTTACCTGCGACCTAATCCTAATTAGGCAACTTAATTATTATCAGAATACGGACGGCCATAAAGATAATCATCCTTATTGGAAGAAAAAAATCTTTGTATTATTATAGTCGAATTTTCGCAGTTTTGAATCCTACAATGATCTCTCACAAATCCCCCTAAAATTGAAAAAAATGATAATTATAATATAATGATGGTTGCTTAAAGTCCAAGCCAAGTATGTCTTCCACCTCATAAAACAAGGAGTGCAGCCTTCAAATATACGCACACGACATAGCAACATAGCTTGAAAGATGAACAAGTCCACTAAGGCCTTCCACAGTAGGTCGGAAAAAGTGAGTGTGATACCCGATATATTGAGATCATATAGAAATCACACTGAGTTGGAAAATTCGAGTGGGGCCGTCATACTTTGCTCCATAACTATTGCAACATTCTCCTCGTAGTCTTAGCATACAGGTTCAACTTGAGGAGAATGTTGAGATTTTTCAGCGGGTTCTTCTTCATTGGAGCCCTTTTGATCCTTCTTGGAAGTAGAGTTTTCCAATTGGCTTGATGATAGATTAAACCTCATCAGAGTTGATGATCCTGGTCATAGCAGTCTTGTAGTATCCCTAGGAACGAACTCATGAGTGTGATATCAACATCTTAAACTCACACTAGTGTAGTAGAAGTGTAATGTGTATAAAACTCAGGTCGCTTGATTCTTATATATAGATATCATGCTTATTCAAACTATCGTGGAAGACCTAACAACATCTTGTAAGTCAAACTGCTAAGATAAATATGTAACAAAGTTAATATGTAGCAATATCATGCGTGCCACTAACTAAGATGTATAGATATAATAATATATATGGTCTTAGGTTAATCATGTGTTCATGCTATCTACTCAAACTCAAGTGATTGCTACTAAAATGTACTTCAAAGCAAAATGATTTTCATATCTATTATCTCTTACCAAAGGGTATAAATTCATTTATTTTCTATTTTTTTTTATATATTGAGGCATTTTCACATGTTGTCGTATTCTTACCTATGATGTAATAATTTTAAAGAACTTATTTTATTTTTGTAACAAGTTATTTAACCAAAATTTAATCAAAATCAAGCTAGATTTAACCAAAACTTAATCCAAATACAAATTTGACACAAAATTTTCATTTATAAAAGCGACATTGGAAAATTGAGAATTTGCCAAAGTAATGCAAGCGATAAATACTTTTAATTACTTGAGCTGCAAACCTCATACAAAAATGTCACGACTTTAAAATCACGTCATTGCCACCCTCACATTGAGAAACAGTAAATTGGGATGTTATTGCCAAGAACAAAGTAGAAAGCAAAAATGTAAAAAAGAAGTGAAAAACAATAAATTCCCAATTTTTCTTCCGACAAGGATTCTTTTTATTTGGGGGATCAATCAATCACGTCCGTTCATTGTACATCCTGGATTATAAATCATTAGATACTATTTATATTCAATTTTAAAATTTAAATAATTTTTTACGACACGATGTACGATAAACAGACGTGATTGATTGATTTTTTGATCTCCACAAAAAGAATCAGGAGGGGATCCTCTTCCTTTTTCTTTCACCCTACTTTTTAACCGTTTGGAACTTTTGAGAAAGAGGAGAGAAAATAAAAGAAACTCACCTGCTCCCCCGCCTGTAATACTAATTAATTAAAAAATAATTTACCATTTTTTGTAAATTTTTTAATATATATTTATTAAACCAAATTCCCAACTCTCCCACTAAACCAACCACGCTTCTCTATCTCTCTCTCTAGAGATGCATTCATTCTTCTCGTAGTGGAGAGCTTCTCAAATCGAAATTCACAGCACAGAGAGAGAGAGAGAGAGAGAGAGAGAGTCAGATCTGAGCTCCATGATCTTCACCTGCCTCTGCCTGCTCTGCCTTTCAAGTTCGCAGCTTTGACTTGTACGGTACTACTACTCTCTCTCTCTCTCTCTCTCTCTCTCTCTCTCTCTCCTTCCCTGTATTTGGTCTGTTTGGCTGCCGAGAAAATGCGGGGAAGAAAAGAGGGAAACACAGTCTGAGAAATGACAATTGTAGTGACAATGCTTGTAATTTTCAGTTTCAGTTTGCAATCTTCTTGTTCATTTTCTGAGCAGCCAAATGGGATTTTTATTTTCATTACTTGATGTAGTGTCTGTTTGGTTAGGAAGACTAAATGTTGTTGCTTTTTGTTCAAATGTTACTAATTCGGTTCAGTTCCAAACTGCGAAATGCTCTATATTCCGGAAATTGTTCTAGTTTTACTAATTTGCTAGTTTGAACTCATTAATTGAAGGGTTTTCCCTGCTGGTGTATCGAAAAGGAAATAGTCTAGTACTAGTGAGGTTGTCTTATTTTGTTGAAGTCTGTTAATCCGTCAAATCGGCATTTATTCGTTGCAAAATGAAAGAGTGGAACCATTGTGCAATAATGTAGTGAACAAAAACTTAATTCTTGAGTACTAAGG